GCCTTTCCCTCCCAAAACGGGGGGAGGAAAGGGCCGGGATGGGGGGGGGAGAGAGAGGACGGGGAAAGTCAGCTTTACTTAAGGTGGATGGGTTTATTTCCCTGAATTTTACTTTGCACCAGGAGGTTAAAATAAGTGCTTAGGTGTTTAATTTCTCACCTAAACAGCAGACTTGGTAATTTTAAGGGAAATAAAAAAAAAATTACATTGTATCAGCTCTCACTGTCGCCAGCTCGGAGAAATGAAATAAATCAAAGTTAAAAGCTTGAGTATCATTTAATTATGGTGCGAATAGCGCTTGGAAAGAAGTAGAACAACATCTCTAAACAAATTATGGCCGGGCCAGGAAGGAATTATTAGATTGAAATTTCATTTAGGCTCGGGAGACACAGCGCTTCAATATGTAATCTGTTATGCCTCATCTGATTTGTATGCTTAATTCAGCTTGACGAATTTATTAGTTTTCATAATAGTAAAAAAATTGAGCAGCACTATGGGCTAATGCATTGTGTGTACTATAAATTGTATGTCACCGTTGAAAGGCTGAAGTCTATAGAAATCTTTTATTAATGACAACATAGGAAAGAGGATTTTCTTGCAAGCCTTTAAGGAGTTCATGCCAAACCTCCGTGCTTCGTGTCTCAGTAGGCTATTAACATATCGCCATACTAATTAGGCTACTTCACGAGTGATATAATTTCAAACTTTAAATTACGTTCTAATTAACAAGGGTTGTCCAATTTGCTTAATCTTCAAAAGGCTTTTCGGCTTGTCTAATTAGTCTAAACTATTGAGCATCTCAAGCGCCTAGTAAAAAGCCATAAATAATATTTTTGTATTTTCATTTAAATATCGGGTAAAGTTTACCAGAAAGACTCGAAAGCCGTGACGGGAAGGGGCTGGCAGAGAGACAGATGTCCTTCTACCTCCCTCCGCCTGAGTCATTGCAGCTCCTTTTGCCGTCCCTCTGCTCCCGCTTCAGCCTCCCAAGCAGCAATCATGACCTTTTCCGTTTCCGTACGAGCTTGCGACGAGGTTTTCAGAGAAAACAGACGCGCAGGAAAAACCTCTTGCTTGCCGGGGAGGGAAAAAAACAAAACAAAAAAAGAGCAAAATAGCGCCTTTGCACTCGGAAGTCCGAAGGAAACCAACACATTGTGCATGAGCGGAACCGAGAAAAGGGCTTTCTACTCCTCGCTCTTTGGCTGAACTTTGCTAGCAGTAATGACGGTAGGGATAACAATAATATTCTTCTTATTATTTGAACCGTAAAAAATCTCTTTACCGTATACATTTAACCCCTCCCGCCTTGAGCGTAATTACTTGCAATCGTCGTTTTAATGTATGCCGTCACATGGGAGAGTGGCGAGCGCATATCGTTAATACGAATTAATCTTGATTTTAATAGCAACTGACAGCCGATCTCCAAAAATGCTAAACACTTATCGCCCCTTCCCCTGGCGCCCTACGGTGCCCCCGCAGCCGCCGCCGGCGCGCTGCAAAGCCCTCGCCAAAACTTTGTCGGCGCCTGCTCGGACCCAGCAAAACCAGGGGGGGCTCCGCGGCCCGCGCAGCTGGGTTTTAACGCCGAC